AACTGATGCATTGGTGTTTTGTCGATACCTGGGAGGATCATGTTCCTTGCAAAGAGGAGAGAAACATATTCTTCTTTCTTTGTCCAATAATTCCTCTGGCTTTGCTTAGGGAGGTGTTTTTCACCTTCCAAATAGCGATCTTAAGGTTAGAGATTACTGGAATTCATGCGAAACCATGTTGCATATTTCTACTAAAGAAATGTCGGCGGTTCTGAAGGTCCCTCAATCTTCGCCAATCACTCTCAGAAATTGTAGAGTAGACGTCAATGTTGATAGCCAAGTTCTTCTAGACACTTTGCGCTAAGAAGGAAGTAGAAGTCCTCATCTTACTTCTGCAATCAAAGAACTGTTCCTGTTTGTTTCTAAAAACAATCTATAGCTCTCTTTGAACAAAGTTCCTTCTGAAACAAAACCGTGCAGATCAGCCATCAGGACGCACTTCATCTCCTGATACGATGTTATCTCCTAAATGTTGGCAAAACGTCCAGGAACAGTTCGGAGGGGTCTCAGGCCACACCATGGATCTAATGGCAATAGATTTATCCTATTTATCCTTTTCCCACCCAACCCCCCTCCCCCTACCCTCTATCGGGTGATCGGGTGGTGTCAATTTATTTGCACAGAACCCTCTTCACTGGAAGAATGTAATGATCTGAATCCCTGTGTTTTTCTCCCATTCAGTCCTGTAGGACCCGTTTTTAAGTTCCCTTTTTCCGCGGGAATCTCCACCATTGTGGTTCCGAGATTTCCTGTCAAACCCTACTGGTGGCCAATCCTATATTCTTCCGCTTCAGATCATGTTGTGTTATCTAGGAAGGGAGAATTAGATGCAGTCTTATGTTCACAAAGAGAGGGTGGCTTTGGCTTAGTCCCTTCCCCGGTAGAATTGTGGGCATTTAGCATTGATGATCCCAAGTGGCCTTGACTATCACTTCAATCTCTTTTAAATAATCCACAAATGGCCTGCCCGGAGTGCTCTTACGCAGACGATGAAGGTTTTCACTTTTATCGAAACTGTGGGTACAAAAGACGTTCAATAAAGGTGAGGGAGGGGGGGGGGGGTTACAAACAAGAAGCTTAAGTGGCTGGTCAATGAAGGCAACATCCAAGCTCGTCTAGATCAGTTGGCTCAAAACCGAAACTCCACAGGTTACGTCAAACAGAAATCAGCACTAGAAATCTAAATGACTGCGTTTTTGACTCAACTAGATCCTCCTAAGGGTGTCTCTTCTGCTCTACCAACAGATGTTAAATTTCTGGAAAGATGAGGATGGTCGCATTGTCGTTCACAGCACCAGTTGTAAATGTCTGGGCCATTTCTGGGCCATTTCGAACGTTCCCGCACGATTGTCCCAATCGATTAGCAAGAGGATCTGTTGAAAGTGTTATCGGTAAGCTTCGAGCCATCTTCGTTAACCACGACAGGGTTGGAGACTGGAATTCTCTTTTGGGTGTAGGAAATCCTGCCGCGATAAGGGACGTTAACAATTATTTGTCCTGTATAACTGTGGAACAACTACAGGCAAGGGTCACCCCGTCAAGCAATACCACTTTTACTTTCTGATTTAAAGATCTTAGCCGACCACATTCTCGCTCATTTGTCTACACCGTTTATAGAACCCCATCATGTTTTATCTTTCTGCAAGAGATCAAGCATTTTTTAAGACACTTTTCTTTTCTGGCGATCGCGCCGCTGATCCGTCCCAT